GTGTACAGATGTGTTCTAGAACCCTTGGTATTAACATAACTCCCAAAATTTGGAAACAGGTGAGTAACAATGAAAACACATATTATTGTTCCATAAGTTGCTGTAATTTGATAAATTATTATCATTACATGGACAGAATTTTGAGTGCTGAAATAATATAGACCAGCGGTCCCCAAGCACCAGGCTGCAGATCAGATTCTTTTGTTTTCCTCCCACATGTAAAATGATTCATATTCTTTTTAAAGATGAGCAAGGCCACTGTCATTTCAGAAAAGACCTGAAATGAAAATAGACCATATTTAGTAGGGGACTCACCACAAACAGCAGCAACACGAACACGGACGAAGAAACCCGAATCATGACTGAAGAAAAAATCCGGATGAAGTCCACAGAGTCTGTGAAACGAAGTGAACTAGAAGTTGCGATGGTGCTGAATAACAAGAGCTCCTGACTGACTCTATGGCTCAGATGAAAAGGAGGAGGATGATAAAAAAAAAAAAACTCCTGCTGTTTAAGGTGGTAGATAAAGTTGTCTGGCTCTGTGGTAAGTGGATAATTGCCAGGAAACGCCTGGTATTTGGTACAGAATGTTTTTCCCCACTGGAAAAAGTAGAAACAGCTTTTCTATACTTCAATATTTTTCTGTTGTTGAATTACTTCTGTCTTTTCCTTTAACTTCTCTGACAAAACTGTTCATCACCACTCAGTCACATACCTAGAATAAAATGTCAGATTGAATAAACTAGCATTTCCTGAGAATTTTTTTTTTACAATGATTTATCCTCAACTGCACATCTTTGGCATTCTTCTGTCTTAATTCAACATCTTTGATGAATATGGATTGCAGTGTGTTTCACTGGTCGCAATAACATGTTGCAGTTTCGTTTTAACTAATTTTTACTTGCTGCTGGATTTTGCTTCACTAAAATATATTTTTGCAGATTGGTAAAAATAAAACAAACAAAAAAAACCTCATGCCCTCATACTTTCATAGCATTTACACCACAAAAGATTATTTCTTATTGATGTCATCAGTACAAATATAAAGAGAAATTCAGCTGTATGATAGCCAGTTATATGAACAACATAACCAGGAGACCCTCACATATTAAATTGGAAAATTCAAAAAGCCGGCTGTTGTACTGATTGATAAAGTTAAAGCTATTATAACAATAGTAATAATACTGACTGAGATATAGCTGGGAGAACTACAAAGGGCCTTAAAAATATTTAGTAAAATCTTAAAATCTATCCTAAATTATATTTGGAGCTAGTGTAACAAGGCTAAACAGGAGCAGATTTAAATGTACCACATTTATCCATAAGCACTGTATCAAACTGGATCAAATGTTTGCCCAAAAGAACCTCGATTTTTTACTAACTGTATATGTATGTATATGTGTGTGTGTGTGTGTGTGGGTGCGTATGTGTGTGTGTGTTGTACTACAGTTGTTGACAGAAACATCTGCAGGGTGTGGTATTCATTACCACTACCTGCAGGTGTGTCTGTCTGTGAGTTGTGGCTTGTGTTCAACTGTGATGTGTCAGTTGACACTTAACGCCCCAAAGACATCTGACTTGATAAAACATGCATGGCACCTCAGTGGTGGAGACATCAAAACACCCAACAATGTGAACTTGATTGAACCAGTTTTCATATTGTTGGCAGCATTTCTGACTCTGGGGAATATTCTACCTATAGCAGTATTTGAATTAAAAACTTAAGCAGAATTTACTTGCAATGGTTTCTATAAAGGGAAGTATTTAATGCACTGCATATTTTGGGGACCCTACATTTTATTCAACTGCAATATGTAATTATGATTACTGTCTGTGACTACATGTTATTTGTCATTCCATCCATCCATCCATCCATCCATGTTCCATCTTTACCCTGTAGGCGGTGGTTGAAGGGTAGAAACCTATCCCACCTGTCATAGGGGTAAAGACATGGTACAGCCGGGACAGGTCGCTGGTCCATCGCAGGGCCTGTAGGATAGGATGTCACAGCTAAGTTTATTGGGATTGCTTTAAGAAGGCAATATTGTACTAAGCTCATCCTTTGCAAAAATGTTTCATCAATAGCAACCTTTTTGGGGGAAAATTTTGCCCAGTTGCAGAAAAATATTATGGTTCATTCCCAGAAGGTATAGTAACAAATCTTGTGGAAGTAAATACAAAAAGTGGATGTCATGCTTTTAAAAACATACTCTACCCAGTATGGGAACCAACCATATTTGTAGATTGTTAGCAAACAGTACTTGGGCACCTGGAGATCCCTGGACCCACAGAGAAGGTGACTAAAGTCCCTTTTAGATATGCACTACTTGCATATCTAAAAGCATCCCAGCCCCTTGAATAGCATGTGGTCACAACAATAATTTGGAAAAGAGCTTTTCCGGATTTCAGCACAAAAATCGGTCCATTAAAATTGGGAGTGTAAAAGACAAGATTTGCATGCCTTTAGTTGCTGTACGTACAAACAAACCACAAAACACCTTTCATATATGTTTAGTTGTGTATCTTTCACAATTTTACATCTATTACCAATTGAAACTTGCCAAAATTACAACTTCACTGTGAAGAAGACACATTCTGCAACAGGTCAGAGTAATCAGACTCACCAAGCAAAAATTTGACACTTGCTGGACATCAACCGAATGAGCAATGGACCTACGCTGTCACAGTGACCCTATTCTGTGAGTTTCAGCAGCACAATATTGCATTTCTAGCAATGATATTACAAAAACATAACCATGTACTTACAACAAGTAATCAAGATCCCATCATAGTCTGTCTTTCTTTAGCACAATTGCAGCCACAACTGCAACCCAGTCCAGCAATGCCATGCTAAAAATCACTGCATGCTACACTGGAATCCAGGTTATGCTTTGTGATTTTACCCGTCAGGGTCAAACTTTCAAGACTAAGTTGTGTTCTTGAGCTGTCTAAGAGAGAACATTCAACTAAAACAAGCTGAACAAAACTGAACGGTGGTGCATGGCATTGTGCCAATTTATGCCTGCTCACAATGTGCTGGAAATGTCAAGTTTTTTGGCTCCACCAACCTGATGTTTCTTTCCACCCTTGACACTACCTGCCAGATTTGGCTCATTGCAACTCCTACCTTTTTCTCAACATAAAGTCAAGTTGAAGGATCACCATTTTGACACAAACCCAGTGTGTATAGTAGATGGTGCCTGACTTGCTTAGGGAATGGATTTTCCAGGGGAAGTTCCAAGCCTGACATAAGAGTGGGGATTGGTGTATGGCCGCACAAGAGAGCTACTTCATAGGAAATGGCGGCCAAATTCAGACCAGGTATGACCTTTGAGTGGACCTCTTTCATACAGATTTTAAATACACATTTGCAAACTTCTGTACACGTTCAGAAATCTCAGTCGCATAAAACACAAAAATGTATGTATGTATTGGGTCTTAGTGAAGCCTGATCACAAATGCAAGAATATGTGAGTCTAAATTAATCAATCCCATATTATGTCAAAAATATCATGTCCCTCTAAGGCAGAAGTGGAGTGGCAGCAATTTTCCACTGAAGCTTTTTATTTGACGCAAGAACTGAATTGGGTCATGACTCATTCGAAAGCCTTACTCTCAATATCACACACCCAAACTGAAAAACGTAAAGAAAACAGCTCTGTTGTTATTGCCTACCTGGCCTTGCCAGATCATTTGAATTAGTACTCAGTTAATGTAGTGGGTGACTGATCTTCATAAATGATGAGAATGACAGCCTCAGCACTGTGCTTAGTTCTTGAATTCAGTTTCTCAAACTGTAATAAACTAACTTACTGTTTTAATCACAACCTTGATCTTGTACTGACATTGATATGGAAATTGAACATCTATCTAGCTGTCTATCCTCAAAACTGTTTAACCATTTTTGTAAATCACATTTGAATTAATAGGACAAATAATGGACTACAGAGCATTTGGCAAAAAGTTGCATTACAGTAGACGTCTGATAATATAGTAACACAATTTTAGAAAATTATTCCATCTATTTTTTTCAGTGTCCACACAGGGTGATTCTCATGTCGATAGTACTGCAGTCACACTGTGTACAACACTTGACAATGCTACCCCTCTGAAAAAGAGGGCAATGAATCACAGATAAGTAGGTCCTTGGTATAATTCACAAATGCACATTTTAAGCATTTGTGGTTTATTTGGTGTTCCGCTCATTTAAAAGAATTTTACTAAGCCTGGAAAGACAGTTTAATGATATATAAAAAGGCCCCCTGTAAAACTAGAATTGCTTACTATTCATCTCTAATAGGGTAAAACAAAAGCAATCCCAGGTTTCTTTTCAGCACTGTAGCCAGACTGACAGAGTCACAGCTCTGTGGAGCCTTGTGTGAGAAACGTAGTGTTAAAACATGGACACCTCCACATGTGTTCATTTTATTGTTTGAAACTGTCACAGAACAGACTCAGAGACTTAGGTGCAGACAAATAACTTGAGAGATGGAATTAAGTGTTAATGCACGGGAACTTCTGGAGGCAGCACAAGAAGTGGGTTCACAAGTCCTGAGTATTGGCAGAGTTTTAAGTACACGATGGGTGGCCAGCAGCTTCCGTTCTGTAAAGGCTGTGTGGAGGTCATATGACGCACTGAAGCAGACAAGAAACAGCAAAGAGAGGCAAATTTACAGGGGCACATTGTTTGCAAAGCCAGGAATTTCTGCGTGACCTCAAACTTATGTGCGATGTACTGTCTGAATCTCAAACCTGTCTCAGCAACTCCAGACCCATTCAGTCACACTTTTGAAAGAAGACGAGTTTCTGAGGTGCACCATCCAAGTTTTGGCATCATTTAAAGACTCTCCAGGTGAGAAATCTGAAGAGTCTTGGCAAGGGCATTTTAGATCGGCTTCCCTGTATTCAAATGCAAAGCTCTCACCAATCAATGCAAAGCAATTCCTTCAAAGTCTGATCAACAACATGGAGAAGCGCCTCTCATTTGAAGGCGAAGTGCTTTGTGATCTCAGCATTCTGGACACCAACACCTGGCCATTAAGACCTGGCATTCAGCATAGTGAGTTACAAGTGAAACGACTGTGCGGGCGGTTCAGTCTGTGTGAAGAGTAAGCTGTTAATGGTATGAAAGATTTCCTTGAGCACCCAAAGTGCCTGAAAGCCTAATTCCACTCATACAATACATGCAGACCATCAATTGCAGCACTGCTGAATGTGAAAGGGGTTTCAGTCTGATGAACAATGTATGCACAGACACAAGATCTACACTGTTGTTGTCCAATGTATGTAATTTAATGGTGATTAGCACCAATGGGTCCCCTTTTTGAGCCAAGGCAGTACATTGCAACTTGGTTGAGAAGCCATTGCTCTGCCACACAGGCAAGGGAAAAAAATGCACACCAAAGAACTTTGAGTACAAA